ATACGCAATCGATTTTCAAAGAATATTTGTACGCAAGTAACGAGCACCCCAATTTTTCATAAATAAAGACAAGATCGCACTAGACCCAGAAATGCCTCATTTTCATTAGCTTTGCGAGATGTATTGGTCCGTTAAACGACTGGAAACGGATGCGCCGTTAGGCTGGTCGTTTTAAAGGTTAATCCAGATCCAACCAATACGTTTCCGCGTGTTTGGTTTCTTTCGCAGCAGCCGTCTCGAGAAGATTAATTTACAGTGAGTTTCTTCAATCCATCTCCTTCCGCGTTTTCATTTTATCACCATCGTCGGCGCGCGTGAGAGAGAAAGAGAGAGAGAGAGAGAGAGAGAAGTCCTCTGAATTGTTGAAATTTAGCGCCGTTGAAATTTATCGAAGCGAATTTCCTTTTACCGTTCTTCCCATTCGTTAACGGCAGCTCTCGCTCTTTTTCTATCCTCTCCGAGCAACTAACTGCTCGATTCGTTTCTAAAAGGATTAAATTTCATATCTGCCGAGGGCTTTCTCGAACCACCTTGCCCGTTCCGCCTTTATTCCTCTGAATTAAATGGATTTTTCAGCTCGCACGGGAAAAAGATTCGACGCAACGTTACTACTCCGACGTCTGTTCTCTACAGCTCCTGTCCGCCGAGCATGGACTTTCTCGAAAGACGAATCCTTTTTAATCGTTCGTTGCATTCCTTCAAGGAGATCCACAGTCTCTCCGTGAATCGGCCACGGTTTTATCGGCTCTTGACACTTTATTTACCCGATGCGTATCAGTAGACTTTTCAATGACCAGTCAGCGATTGGAAACTGATCTTTGAAATATGAGTTATAATTAGAGTACATACTTGAAGTACTTTTATCATATTCTTTTATGTAACAAAGTCGGAAGAAAGTGTGGCGTGAACTGTGCTGCTTGAAGCAATTGAAATTGTTATTGCTGTTAAGAAGTTTGATTGGTTAAGAAGTTGGAAACTTTTAAAAGTTTATTAAACAGATAATCGACAGACAAAAGTATTAACTTAAACAGCGATAATTTACATCTTCAGAATAGATCGATTGTTGATCTTTGATTTTCAAAGGATTATTATGTATATAGAAAACTGCCGGTGAATAACGTGTTAAAAATGTGTTATTGCTGCTTGATAAACGGGATGCTAATCGTACAGAAACTTTAAGAAAGTCTCCATTTGTCTGTGCTCTATGAAACTTTCAACTGAAGTTTATTCTGCCTCGATCAATCTGAAAAGTTTTGATTCATGAGGTAGGCAGGCAGTCGAAATGAAATGTTCAAGCAGGTAGAATAACTTTCTGCAATTCACAGTTTCATATTCTAGAAGTTCGCTTATCTTTCATCTCTCTTGAAAAATTCATGCAATTTCTTGAATTCCTATTACATATTCTCCACACTGCAATTTTTATGTGTTTTGAGCTTCGAAAGCTCAAAATATTAAGTTTTACTCTCATGCGTAATACTGTATGCAGTAATTTCTCTCTAATTCGCGCTCAGATTGCGCACAAAAATGGGCAATTTGGGAAGAGGGGATACGATTACATATTCGGGCTTTGCGTCTTGTTGTTATAGTTGTTGACAATCGGTAACTATAAAAACGAGCTGCAAGGCTCGAATAATCGTGTCTCCTCTTCCCAAATCCCATTTTTGTGCGTAATCTGAGCGCGAATTAGCGAGAATTTACTATACCTTTTTCTCAGCAAAGGTTTAAGTAGAGCATATTTTTTAGAAGTTCGCTTGTCTTGCATTCTTTTTGAAGAATTTATAAAACTTCTTCAACTCCTATTATTTTCTGTACTGTTATTTTTATTTATTTATTGGTTCAAAATCTTAAAATAATATGATCATGCCAGGTATACACTATGGTGCTGTTGTATAATATTGCATAGTTCCCCTCTTAACAAAGATTTAAGTGCAGCACGTTTTCCAGATCCGAAGGAAATTTGCGTAAGAAGTTGGAGAACAGTTTCTTGGGAAACGGAGGAACAACTTCCGATTTTCTTGAAAGCATTAAAACTTGAGATGGAACAGTTCATTGCTCACCGATACACCCACCGCACCGGCGGGCACTTGATTGCGACAGCCGGATTAATTGGCAATTAAGACATGCCTTAATAGGAGAGGCTGTGTTGGTTAAGGCGACGGAAAAAATTATATGTAGCAATTCGCACAGGCATTAGGGTCCGCGTTTGCGAGTTTTTCCGGAGCTTTTCGTCTCGCTCTTTCAGCGTGCTCGTCGGTTCGACGATTTTATGGCTCGTTATAGTTTATTACGCTCGCCTTCTTTGCCCAATTTTTTCCATCTTTTTGCGCCGCCTCGGTTCGAGCACCACCTGCATGTTTTACAATCCGCGTCCTTGGCTCAGTTTCCGAGCCTTTTCCCTTATTTATATGTCCAATTCCGCGAACCGATGCACTCTCGCCGAACAGCTGATTGATTTATGTCCGAAATTGCCAGGGAAGGTAGAATATTTTTTCCGCAATCGATCCGAACTGGTCCAGAAAATATGAAAACATTTGAAGAATTTAAAATTTTTACTTAATAATTTCAATCTTTCTCTTCCTAGCTTCCATTTACTTGCGATTATTTGACTGCGAATTTTATGCATTTATGGCAAAACTGGAATGATGAAATATAAAGTAGTGAAAAGATTTAATGAAATTAAGAACATTGATGTATACTTATTAAAATTATTTAAGGAAGAAGATTGAACATGCCTCCCATGTCTTGCAATTGATGTGGACAGTTCTTCTTTGCATGAAGCTCTGCAATTTAGTGATTATTCAATTGTGAATCTTCGTGCGAAATAAAACTCTTTTTACTTAGAAATTGAACGAGAATGTACAGGTTTCTTTTGTAAAGTTTTCCTGTACGTAACAGGATTTTTAAATTCTTCTAACATTTCTTCACAGTTTCGTATTGCATCTACTTATTTTTATCACAAATACATTACTAACAAGAAAATACATTGAAGAACCCTGATAAATGAAAGAAGAGTACTATTCTTTTAGTGTAAGTTGTATTAAAAATAGAAATTAAATATAAAATTCTTACATTATCGGAGCCTTAGATTTGTTAAAAATACTTATTCAAACAATTCGGCTCGTTTTTTAATAATCTTCCTCAATCTTTTCAATACATTGTTTATTTTGAATGGTCCGTTAAAAATTGTTCGTCGAACTTTGTTTCGCGTGTTGTGAATGAAAATCAATTTCCGCGAACCTCGCGAGAACGGTATCAAATTTTCTCCGGGTATAGAAAACTGGCACTTTTCGAGAGAAGTTCAGTTTGCTCGGGAATCTTTCAGAAAGTTTTCCTTTAGAAATTAGATGCCCGACATGGAAGTTCGTTTCTGCGCCCGTTTTGTTCGCTCTTCGGTATTTTTACGCGTGAAACACTACAACACTTTGTCCTCCGTGAGCACGAGCTTCGCGTAGAACTTGCGATCGCCATTTTGTTTCCTGTACCGCTGTCCATCCTTAACGTTTTCATAATTCTTTTCTTCGTGATCTTTACATATAAATGGAGCATTTCAAGAAAAGAAAGATAGAAAGAGTGTCTGCAAATTGGAAACACAGTTGAGCAAAATTTCATTCGACACTATCGAATAAAAATGTATTCGAACATGAATTTGTTGGTACAGGAATTTATATGTAAAATGATTGATTTGAATAAAAATGATAGAATATGAAGTTTTCATAGTCTATCTATTTATTTATTTCATATTACCTTTTTGAATTATTTGAATAACGAATCATTCGAATAAATAGATACTATAATTTATGACGAATAATGAATTACTCGAATAACATATTCGACTAAAAGGAATTCATTCGCGTTGTTATCTTAGATAGAAATATGTTTGAAACAATCTGAATGATACCCAACACTGATTGAAAGTACCTGGTTCAAATAATGCATAAATTGCCAATGGGAAATAAATTCTCTTTTCTCTACTCAAGATTTTTTACTCTAACAAATGCATTTTAATCGAAATAAGTAAGAAAACCAAGTAAACGCTTTTAATATCCTTTGTGTTCACCAATGTTGTTATAAATAAATATTTGACACAATAAATGTATTATAATAAAATGAATTTTGAAATAGAAGGCCAAAAGGCAAAATACCATTTCTTTCTAATGGCCTTCGAACGTTGTGTCGATACCACAAGTTAAATGCACTCTATTTCCTGTGATAGAAATTGTTTTCGTCTCTGTCACGGGTCGCCGTCTTTACCGAGAAGTTATATTCGCGGAAATACCATGTATGTTTTGTCTTGTTTCAAGATAAATCGTCCAAGACTAGACGTTACGTAACTTCGGTTTAATTGGTCGTTGATCCTCATTGAAATACTTCGTCAGTCGTCGCAGACGAATGAAATTCTACTGTTTCATCTCCTGCAACATGTAAAGGACGTATGAAATACTTAATACGTCGATCCGTTCGCGTCACATGGTCACATTTATAAATTTTAATTAAAACGCCTAGCTTTTTTTTTTACATTCTCTTAACTAAATCCATTCGACAGTAACGTTTTCTTCAAATTTTATAGCAGCATTCATTTTTTTTGTAGCGATTGTCATTGAAATTACAATCCATTTCCTCCCGTTATTAACACTTTCAACGATGATTACTCAGTTTAAAATTGTAAAATCTTAACCCTTGAAGGACCAATGCCTCGATACACGTGACACGGCACTTTTACTTATTTACTTGTCGAATGTCGCGTATATTGCAGAAAAAATAATTTCATTACTTTTCTTATTGTATAAATATATAATTTTATCTGTAACGAAATATATTCCTTCTTAATACTTGATATAGAAATCTCTGGTACATAATTTCTCTTCGTATGAGAAGTAGTTAATATGCACCATAGCAATTTCAGGTTGTTGAATTTAAAAAACATCTGAAATTTAATTGTATACAACTGAATTCATAATCTTGCTTAACGCTAACTTCAATTATTTATTTTCTGATTTCAGGTGAGTCCTGTGCTACTCTCGAGAGGTTCTTCTTCGAAACACGATAAATCTGCAACTGCCAATTGCAAGGTTTACAAGAGTTGAGTTCCAAGGGTAAAGTATAGGTCTTTTTTTCGATATATGCGTTTCATATATTGAAAACTCGCTATACTGAACGAGAACTATCGATCTAACTCAGAGCTGTTTAACAGCTTGCCCGTACGGGCAACGATTTTCAGCCGATCGGCGGACTGTAGGCCCTACTTTCGAGGGCAGTAGTGCCCCTTCCTTAGCTCCTTGTGGGAGTCCCCATTAGTAATAGATTACGTTGAGATTGATTACGATCGGCATATAACGGCAATGCGTGCGAGTGAAAGAAGAAGAATGGGATAAAAACGTAAACACATTTCGCTCTTTCTTTCCTCACTCTGCTAAGACGCTTGTCCGTAGCTTTGCCTCGTAGCTTTGCCCTGCAGCTTTGCCTTGTTGTAGCTTTGCCCTGCAGCTTTGCCTCGTAGCTTTGTCCCGTAGTTTTGCTCCGTAGTTTTGCTCCGTAGTTTCGCCTTTGCCTGAATCGTCGGTCCAAATTTCTTGGAACATCCCTGTGGTGGCAATAACGGGAGGCTATTATGCGAACCAATATTACGTGCACCGAACAAATAAGAGCAGGGGAATACGCACAGTGTAACAGTGCACTAAGTATCGTTATGTAAAACTTTCATTTTATAACGAAGTTGGCCGTCATTAGTTATTACAATCTTCAAAATGTTGCATGAAAATAGAACCAGGCGACGTGATTATTAATAGCGTTTAGTAATGGCACTTTCCGCGGTTCATTGTAAGATTCAAGGGCAATGCTAAATATAATTCGCTCGCATGTTGAATTCTAGAATCTATTGATATATCGAATAAATAATAATTCTGCATCGTAAGTCTTGGACTAACAGTCACAATCAATTCTACAGTTTTTATGTAAAATTTTGTTGAAACAAGTATTCGGAAGCAATATGAACTTGGACACAGTCTCTATCTAATTGTAGACAATGAGTAGACTTTGAATTTTATGCATTTACGTCGAAAATGGCTATTACATTCATTTTGGGGAAACTTCGTGGTTCAGTGTCGAGTCGGATATTGAATTTTGCTGATTTACATTATAAATGACATGGTATGTAAGAATAATTTCTTAATTGTTTTATATGTATAGATTGTAAAATAACTGGTAGACTTTTGATATATATTTATATACCATTTTTATATACTACTTATGTACTACTGAATTAAAATTTTGTATTTTAACTTCTGTTAGAAATCCATATTATGATTTTAAATTTCTGTTTAGATTTCCATTAGAAATTTATTATATTCCACGTTTATAATAAAATTTCATTATAATTATATTTCATATACTATTTGCATAGTATTTAATAATCGTACATACAAATTTTGAAATAAAACGCACAGAAACGCTTTGTACTTAGCATAAAACAATTAAGAAAACAATTTGTATTTAGTACAGCGTTTTGCAGTCCAATTTATCGAAGTTTGATGAGTACGTCCAGTTTATTGTTTAAAAAAACAGCGAAGCATACCTTCGAAAATAGGCCGGGAAAGGGGAATAACCCCTTAAGAGCATTGCGGAAACACCCTCCAGTCCGTTGAACCGTTCGTTCTTATTTGCATCGACGCACAATGACGCATTGTCTTCCGCTTCATCAGGGACGCGAAACAGTCTTTCGCCGCGGCCACATATTTTCCCATGTAAAAAGTAATAACGTACGCAAGGATGCTTTATTACGTCAGGGGTACGCGCGTTGCATATCGCGCGGCCGTTTCCATGGTCCCAACGCACCTCTCGCTCGACAAAGCGCCGCTATTAATTATTCGATGCACTCGCGGTGCACTCTTCGCCTGCATTTTGCATCGCGAACGATTCTTAACACGTTCGCTGTCGAACCTGCACTACCAGAAATTCAAAGAAATTTCTGTGCACTCATCAGAAACAATTACATACTTGTTATATACTTTATAGTTTGTTTTAAATGCATTTAAATTCTCCCATATTTATAAATCGTATATTTTTATGTAATTTAATATAAATTTGTATTTAAATTTGTTGTAAACGTATAATTCTAAAATTTAATATATGAATATATCTAACTCTACTTTATAAATTTTTTTTAAAATTTTATATTTTCATATAATTTCATTGAAGTTTTATATTTAAATTTTATTATAGATCATAACGTATTATTAGAGAGAGAGAGAGAGAAACGAGTTCTTATATGAGGTTTCACAGCAGTAAACGCTATAAGCAGTTTGAAGATAATTTAATAGATTCGGGTTAATTAGAATGTTTCATAAAAAAGTAGAGGATCTCTATGTGTTATGAAATGAAACAAACTTTCTACGCGATTCCGTATTTACTGCGTAATTGTTACCAAATTATGAGTGGATAAAAAGCAAACTCAATTGTCCTTGCTTCCTGCATTCGTGATAAAAAAGAGCGTTGAGGTTATATTTTTAAAATAGGCTTTTAAATTCTGGAATTATGAAACCACACATTGTTAGACACAGCTCACCGATTTACATGTTTTGCAATCTATTGAACAATTTACAAGAAAAACTACAATTATACATCTTCCTCCAATTTGTAATTCTAATATATACCTCGGGTCATCTTTTGGTTAAGAAAGCGCAGTAACATAAGTAAAAGTGCAAAACGAAGATGATTTTAAACTACAGAAGAATACTTGAATACGAGGCTTAAAAAGCTATTAAAGCGTTCATATCTTCCTATGACTTAAGATTCCCGATTGAAACAAGTCTTGTCCTTTACTTGTTTGTCTACACGGATTATCTAATTCGATGAATCCAGCACGATAATATGCACGAATCCAGCACGAATATGGTGTTCGTTTTTCTCAGCAAGCATACTACGTTATGCAATAAAAGTATCCGGAATTTGTAAAAAAACACACACAAACTATTCAGTCGGTTCATAAGTTCGCACGGTTTCAATTTCGATTTAAATTTCTCGCATAATAATTGCCTAACAGTTATGCCTCGCCGCATACGTCATTCGATAGCTTTGATTTTCTTCTGTTGCGCGATTGTTTATTCATTCGTTCCGTGTGAGTAATAAAGTGATTCATTTTTTGAAAACTATGGAGTGTCAAATTAACAAGAACGAGCATCCCCGACATATTTTGCTGCACGATTAAATCCGTGATAAAGTGATTGATTCCATTTGAATACTACGGAGCATGAAATTAACAAGAGTGAACATTTACAATTTAACTCTCGCATTACCGACGGTTGGGCGTTTACGCGAAACCCTATGATTGGGTCCTTACGTATACAAACATTTTGAATTAAAATTTTGCTCTTACTATCATCATTATTATTGTTACTATTATTATTACTATTATCTTACCGTACTTTTTTTTTAAACAAAAGGCAGGGGCATCAAGTTAAACGGTCAAGTCAGGCCTCGAGCTCTGGGTATGAAAGAAACCCGGACATGGTACGGCGAAGGTTAATCGACAGCTTTTTCCATTCTAAAAATCGCAGGGACACAATCGAAGCTGACTGACGTAAACAGCTGCTATAAACACAATGGTTGATGGTCGCGATCGAACTCGGCGTCACAACTGAGTACACCACGCACGAACATATAAATTAGGCGCTGCTTACGTGCAAAAAATTCTTTNATATGAGGTTTCACAGCAGTAAACGCTATAAGCAGTTTGAAGATAATTTAATAGATTCGGGTTAATTAGAATGTTTCATAAAAAAGTAGAGGATCTCTATGTGTTATGAAATGAAACAAACTTTCTACGCGATTCCGTATTTACTGCGTAATTGTTACCAAATTATGAGTGGATAAAAAGCAAACTCAATTGTCCTTGCTTCCTGCATTCGTGATAAAAAAGAGCGTTGAGGTTATATTTTTAAAATAGGCTTTTAAATTCTGGAATTATGAAACCACACATTGTTAGACACAGCTCACCGATTTACATGTTTTGCAATCTATTGAACAATTTACAAGAAAAACTACAATTATACATCTTCCTCCAATTTGTAATTCTAATATATACCTCGGGTCATCTTTTGGTTAAGAAAGCGCAGTAACATAAGTAAAAGTGCAAAACGAAGATGATTTTAAACTACAGAAGAATACTTGAATACGAGGCTTAAAAAGCTATTAAAGCGTTCATATCTTCCTATGACTTAAGATTCCCGATTGAAACAAGTCTTGTCCTTTACTTGTTTGTCTACACGGATTATCTAATTCGATGAATCCAGCACGATAATATGCACGAATCCAGCACGAATATGGTGTTCGTTTTTCTCAGCAAGCATACTACGTTATGCAATAAAAGTATCCGGAATTTGTAAAAAAACACACACAAACTATTCAGTCGGTTCATAAGTTCGCACGGTTTCAATTTCGATTTAAATTTCTCGCATAATAATTGCCTAACAGTTATGCCTCGCCGCATACGTCATTCGATAGCTTTGATTTTCTTCTGTTGCGCGATTGTTTATTCATTCGTTCCGTGTGAGTAATAAAGTGATTCATTTTTTGAAAACTATGGAGTGTCAAATTAACAAGAACGAGCATCCCCGACATATTTTGCTGCACGATTAAATCCGTGATAAAGTGATTGATTCCATTTGAATACTACGGAGCATGAAATTAACAAGAGTGAACATTTACAATTTAACTCTCGCATTACCGACGGTTGGGCGTTTACGCGAAACCCTATGATTGGGTCCTTACGTATACAAACATTTTGAATTAAAATTTTGCTCTTACTATCATCATTATTATTGTTACTATTATTATTACTATTATCTTACCGTACTTTTTTTTTAAACAAAAGGCAGGGGCATCAAGTTAAACGGTCAAGTCAGGCCTCGAGCTCTGGGTATGAAAGAAACCCGGACATGGTACGGCGAAGGTTAATCGACAGCTTTTTCCATTCTAAAAATCGCAGGGACACAATCGAAGCTGACTGACGTAAACAGCTGCTATAAACACAATGGTTGATGGTCGCGATCGAACTCGGCGTCACAACTGAGTACACCACGCACGAACATATAAATTA